TAGGGTTTCTCCCCTATATGAATTCTTTCATGTGTTCGACAATGACTGTTACTGCTAAAAGCTTTCCCACATTGCTTACATACATAGGGTTTCTCTCCAGTGTGAGTTCTTTCATGTACTCGACAAACACTATGTGTGCTGAAAGCTTTCCCACATTGTTTACATACATAGGGTTTCTCCCCAGTGTGAGATCTTTCATGTATTTGACAATGACTGTTTCTGCTGAAAGCTTTTCCACACTGCTTACATACATAGGGTTTCTCCCCAGTGTGAGATCTTTCATGTATTTGACAATGACTGTTTCTGCTGAAAGCTTTTCCACATTGCTTACATACATAGGGTTTCTCCCCAGTGTGACTTCTCTCATGTATTTTACAATAATCTGGTGTACTGAAAGCTTTCCCACATTGCTTGCATACATAAGGTTTTTCTCCAGTGTGACTTATTTCATGTATTTTACAATTTTTGTGTGTGCTGAAACATTTCCCACATTTCTTACATATATAAGGTTTCTCCCCAGTGTGACTTCTCTCATGTCTTTGACAATAATCACGTGTATTGAAAGCTTTCCCACATTGCTTACATATATATGGTTTCTCCCCAGTGTGAGTTCTCTCATGTATTTTACAATAACCTTGTGTACTGAAAGCCTTCCCACATTGCTTACATACATAGGGTTTCTCTCCAGTGTGACTTCTTTCATGTATACGACAAACACTATGTGTGCTGAAAGCTTTCCCACATTGCTTACATACATAAGGTTTCTCTCCAGTGTGAATCCTCTCATGTATTTTACAATAACTTTGTGTACTGAAAGCTTTTCCACACTGCTTACACACATATGGTTTTCCCCCACTGTGATTTCTTTCATGGATCTGAATATCACTGGTTGTTCTGGAGTCCTTCAAATTTTTCTTACATACAAAGGTCTTCTTCTCTCTAAGGTGAGTTCTTTCACTAAGATCAGAGCTGGATTTGCCACACTGACCAAATTCACAGGGTTTCTCTCCAGCCTTTGTCCTTGTATGCTTCTGAAAGGACTGGAAATTACTCCAGTTTCTTGCATTTTCATTACATTTTAATAGCTTCTCTTCAGATCCTAAATACTCATCAGGCTTCAGTGCAGTATGTGGCACATTTAGTGACAAATCCTCAATCAGGGGCTTTCTACAAGCAAGGCTTTCAATCGGTTTTAAACCAACTAGTTTCATGTCCACATTAGCATCTGGAATCCAAAGGAATATTTCTTTATATTGATTCCAAGTTTTATATTGATAATATTGCTCTAACTCTTCATTTCTGTAAAAACAAAAACAGTCACAATAAAATGAGTCTCTATATTAATGATTTATCAGAACAGGTTCTCTTTTGATGCCTAAGAAATTCTGACAATGAATGAAATGAATGCAGTGGAAGATACCTTCAAAACACCCACTCCCAAGAGAGTGATGTTTATTTGGGAATTTTTAAATTGGTGTATTTTGCAATATAGAAGTTTTAGTTTTATTTTGCGCAATTGGTACATATGTATATCACATATTGAATTTTCTTTTTTTTTTTGGTACCCGGGATTGAACTCTGGACCTTGCGCTTTTGAGGAAGGTGGCAGCACCACTGAGCTAAACCCCTGGCCTACATATTGAGTATTTTTAATACTTTTTCCCCATCACTCTTTCCCTTCTATTCTTACCGTTTGTTTTTGTTATCTCCAAAAAGTCAGCCTTTCCTTTTTCTATCACCTCTCCTTTATTTTAATCCCTAATTTATAGTTTTGGTTTCTCATATAAGAGAAAACATGTGACATTTTACATTCTCGGCCTGACTTATTTCACTTAACATTATGGGATGAAGACCCACCCAATTCTTTTTTTGTTGTTGTTGTTAAATTCTTTTATTGGTACATTTTTAGGTATACAACACAATTACATTTCTCATTGGAAATTGTACCTTTACATAATGCATCTTGGTTCTTATTTTTTTCCCATTCCTAGCCCTCCCTTCACCCCCTCCACCCTTCTCTATTTACAAAGACTTTATTTCCATTTTTTCCATTTCTCATCACTTTTCCTTTCCCTTCTTTCCTTTCCCCTGCCCCTCCCACTACCCCTACCCCTTTGGACCTTTTCTTCCTATTTTACATTATCGATTATTCATTCTAATCATTGGTACATTTTAGGTCTACAATATAATGACATTCATCATTGGAAATTTGCACCTTTACATAGTCTCTCTTGGTTCTTATTTTTCACCCTTGCCCAGCCCTCCCTTCAACCCCTCCATTCCTCCCTATTTACAAAGATTTTGTTCCTATTTTTCCATTTTCTCATATTAATCCCATTCCCTTCTACCCTTTCCCCTAGCCCTTCCACTTCCTTCCCCTTTGCCCCTTTTCTATCCTATTTCACATTACCTATTATACATTTAGTCCTTATTTACACTTTCAGTTTCTCACACCAGAGAAAGTATTTGGTATTTACACATGTGTGTCCTATTTATTTTACTTAAGAGTATTGCCTCAATGTGAATCCACTTAGCTATAAATGTCTCTAATTTCTCATTTTTTAGGGCTGAGTAGTACTCCATTTTATTAAAAACCACATTTTCTTTATCCAGTCTCCAGTTGATGGGCATTTGGGCTGTTTCCAAGTTTTAGCTATCACAAACTGTGCTATGAGCATGGGTGCACATATATCATTGTGGTATGATTCTTTTAATTCTTTGGGGAAGATCTCCAGCAGTGGAATAGCGGGGTCAAATGGGACTTCTAGTCCTAGTTCTTTGAGGTACCTCCATAGTGATTTCCACAGTGGTTGCACCAGTCTACACTCTCACCAGCATTTGAGAAGGGTTCCTCTTTCTCCACAGCCCCGCCAGCATTTGTTATTGGTTGATTTCATGATAGCAGCCATTCTTTCTGGAGTGAGCCCACCCAATTCTTTTAGAAAATGACATAATATTCATCTTCTTGGATGATAATATAGCAAATTATTTTTTCTTTTCAGGGCTGGAAATTAAACACAGATCTTAGCACTGAACTACATCTCCAGCTTTTTTAGTTCATGTTTTGAGAGATACTCATTGATGGTTTAGTTGCTTGTGATTAGCTGCAACTTGCAGTCCTGCTGAATCAGCTTCCCAGAGTGTTGGGTTGACAAGAATGCACTATCATACTGAGCCTATCAAAATTTTTCTTTTTTTTCCCCATTAAGTTTATTGGTACATTTTAGGTATAAAATACAGTTACATTCATCATTGGGATCTTGTACCATTACATGAGTATCTTGGTTCTTACTTTTTCCCCCTTCCCCTGCCCTCCCTTCACCCCCTCCACTCTTCCCTATTTTCAAAGACTTCAAAATTTTTCTTTATCCATGGATCCACTGATGGACATCTAGGCTGATTCCAGGGCTTAGCTGTTATAAACTGGCCTGCTTTGAGTATGGGTATGCAGGTATTAGTATATTATGATTTTTAACTCTTTTGGGAATATACCCAAGAGAGGTATGCCTGGATCAAACAGAACTTCTATTTTACTTTTTGAAATTTGTATATTGATGATCAGAGTGGTTGTAGATAACATTCCCAACAATGATGTTGGAGGGTGCCCTAAAATGAAATGACTCAATTCTCTGGATGATGGCTTGAAAACATTATTATAATACTAGTATTCACTTACAGTTTGAATAATCCTTCGAGGTCAGCAATTTTTTTGATAGTGAATGCCTCATATTCATATGCATGCATAATTAGATATCCTGAAGATAAGCTCCTGCCAAAACTCAAATTTTATTGTTTTCATATACATCCATATACAATACTTAAATGTAATTTTATACATATTCATGATGTTGATCATGAAAGTGGCACAAGCTTGTTGCCCCTCTATCATTTGGCTATGTATTACTTCAGGAAGTCTGACCAAAGCTTACATGACTCAAATGGGCATGTCAGATAGCAGAATTGGGCTAGTATTTCTCCTTTGCTAATGGCTGCTATTGAGACTTAAGTCCTAGTCTGTGAAGTAGCAAGACTCGGCTGATTTCACTTCCTGCCAAGGTCAACTAACTCCAACTAAATTCTTCCCCTCTGAATTAACCATTTGTCCTCTTCTACAAAGATATGCTTGTGCCCTCATTTTACAGTCCTGCCTGCTTGATATTTGTTACCACCAGGTGTCCTGAGGCCTGCCCAGTTTCCCCCCTTCCCACACTTGTAATGAAAAAATGTATGTCCTGGGAGCCCTTTATCTTTGCTGCCCCGAGCAGCTTGATCAGCTCGTCTCAGTTTCTCTCAAGTCTCTGTCTCTGAGTTTCTTTTAATTCCCACTTTCTTATCTTGTGGACACTGTACTGGCTTACAGGAGGCAAGGACCACTGCAGATGTCTCTGGTAACATCCATTACCCTTGCCCTAGAATATATCAGATAGTGTCACTTGTTGCATGATTTCAGTACTAATTCAATTTCATATACTGGAATATTTCTGTATTTAATTGTCAGATTATACATACTCAACTGCATATATTTTTGGAGAATATTTGTATGATTAAATACATTTGAACATGGCCTCATTTCCTTGTCATGTTTCTGCTCACATGCTGACTCTTATGGAACATTCCTTTTCCTTGTGAGTGCAAATTACCTTAGATTTCTCCAGTAATTATTGTACTCTTCTTCAACTTCCTGGTTATCCCAGTCTGTTCCTGAGTTATAGACATAGAAATATAAGGAGTCACTACATTAATACATAAAAATTAATAGATTCCAATTAGATTCATGATGTAACCAGGCCTGGGATATTCTTCAAAATGTTTTCACATTCTATTTAATGTAACTGCACTGATAAACAACAAACAATATTCTCTAATTGTACAGATTAGAGAGATGTCATCTTACCTATAGAAACCATGTTCCTAAAGGTTTCCCCCATCACATCTCTGTAGAGGTTTTTTTGAGATGGATTCAGCAAAGCCCACTCTTCCATGGTGAAATTCACAGCCACATCCTCAAAGGTCACTGCCTCCTAAAGGATCACACATATATTTCTTGAAGGAAGGTTGAGACTTACAGCCTCGAATATCTCAACTTCTGTCATAAATTGAAAGCCAGGTGTGGTGGTGCATGTCTATAATCCCAGCACTCAGGATGCTGAGGTAGGAGGATCAAGCACACAGTGAGTTCAAGGTCAGCCTAAACTACAAAACAGTGTCTAGGGATGGAGTGAGATGAGGAGCTGGCTGGGGTAACATCCTCCTGGAGTATTAATCCAAAGGCAACTGGGAGATGGCCACAATACAGAAGGACCATGAGATGGGAATGAGTTGGTCTGGAACAGAAGGTAGCAAGCCATATGGTGTCATCTCATGAGGTAAAAAGAGGAAGCTGCAGATGCTTTTTGGTACTTTGATCTGTGACCATGAGTGGGAAGGTGACTGTTAAGACACCACCCCCCCATCTTGGATAATCAGATCTATGTGTGTTGAAGTAGAATCTGACAGCAAAATAAAGGATGAGCCAGGCAAGGCTATACAGGGAGGTAATTTGAGAGGTTGCTCCATATTCAAGCAACAGACACAACAGTCCAAAGTGGTGCTTTGGAGGAAGGACTGAAAAACAAAGAAAAAATGCAGATTGCTTTGGTAGTTGGAAGAAAGGAAGATTGAGAGAGATGGAAAAAGTGAGGATGGATTTAAAGATTCAACTTGGGTATTTGAGAGAATAATGCCAATATTACAGAAGGAGAATGTAGCAGAGACTTCTAGCAGTCCATTAAAATCCATTCTTGCTTTCCTTCTTAGCAACACAACAGTAACTAGACATATAGCTGTCCAGCTACCTGAAATTTCCCACTTTGCTTTGGTGTTCTAAGTAACAGATTTTTAAAAAATTTTATGCCTCCTATGACTATTTGGTCTCATTCCACCCATTACCACCCCTGTGGCTATAATAAAATCTTCTTGACTGTAATAAACCAAATTCTTAAACTTCCATATTCTCCACCTCCTGAATATTTTCCTCCATATTGTTTATGATTGACTGTAAAATACTATAAGAATCCAAAGTGTGATCCAACAAAATAAAAATTTATTTTTTCTCTTGGATAGCAAGAGAAATAGCAAAAAACAAAACAACAACAACAACAAACAGCTGGACAGAAGCTGAAAGCTTCAAATATTAACTCCATGTCTTGGTCATCAATTCCATGTGTATGTACATTTCTTTCAGACAGAAATTCTGATGCTAGATTATCAATCACTACTAAATCAACAGAAAAATAGGAGCACTGGTTCTTCTCAGTCACTTCAAGGATATCTATACTCACTGTTTCTAAAGCAGCGCTCAGGGAAGGAGCTCTTGTAGATCACCATCCACAAAACACTGGGGCAGATGAAAATATAATGAATGGTTTTCACAGAACACAGGTAATATCACCTTTCAAATCTTACTATTTATATAGCATTGAGTCCTTTCTTTGACTATACTTAGGCAGCATTTTGAAACTTGAATTTGGTTTCAAAGAAAAAATATAACTGAACAGCAAATAAGGTTTATGAATACTAGCTAAAATGTTCATGGAAAAAGTTTTATAAGAACAACTTTGTGAATAATGAATAGGGAAAGGGTGGCTGTCTTCAGCTACTTTTCTCATAGCTGAGACAAAATACTTGATACCCAAAGTTAAAGGGGAAAGGGTTTAGTTGGCTTACAATTAATAGAGGTTACAGTCCATAGTGGGCTGGCTCCAAGGCAGAGTGACTCATGGCAGACAGGTATCACAGAGAACAGTTCATGGTGCCCACAAGGTAGCAAAGCAACAAATGAACCTTAACAGTGCCTTTCTGCCTCTTTTACCCAGACTAGGGTAGTGCCAAACCAATCAGTGGACTGATTTAGTAATCATACACCCTTAATCCCAGCATCACACACTCTAGATTCAGCCACCTCTGAAAATGTCCCATGACCACATGAGGGTATGGGGGCACATCTAGACACAAACCATAACAGTGGCATATTATCTTAATAGTTCAGTGTCACCGTGCACTCAGAAGAAATCTTAAGAGTGCTATGGGAGGCAAATGAGGGGAAGAAAATGACCAAACTGTACTACATTCATTGAAAGACAATATATCACAAAGTAGGCACAAAAGGAAAATTTTAGCAAGGTCAGTGGTACATCCCAGCACTTGGAAGGCTGACGCAGAAGGACTGTCATGAGTTTGAAGCTAGCCTGGGCTGCACAGTAAATTCAAAACTAGTCTGAAATATAAAGTGAGATCCTGCCTCAAAATCCCCTTAGAAAGAGACTGTAAAAAAAAATTGTCACTTACAAATGACATGCATCTTTGATTTGTTAAAAAATTATAGCTATACAGTATAATAAAAGTCTAACATCATTCAATAAGGTTGATAGCTTCCATAATATACATGAGAAACATTCAAACCACACCTTTCATGAGACTGTCCCATTAGTAGAGAAAATCACAGATGAATCTCAGGAAGATAGTTTTCAATGTGTCCACATGTATATGGAATGTTGATTCATGAAAGAGCTGGTGTTATGTATCTCCAGAAGAAATAACAATCTATTTCATTTATGTTCAGGGAGAAACAGATACGTACTTGGAAACCTGGACTATATACTCTTCTATTCTATGTACAATAATTAAGTTGCATATTAAAATGGGCAGGATAAACTTGAATGCCTTGAGAATTCACAGTGAAATAACCTTTAGATGTGAAAGTGTTTCCTCACAAGAAAATCATGCAAACATAAGAATTAGAAGGATAAGTTGAAGTATATGAAAATCATAAATAATCCAGACACAAACAAAACAGTTGCTATGTACACAGTATAAAGATTTTGTATACGGAGTAAAAATCAATGAACATAAATCTAAAAATATGATTACAACATATCTAAATCAAGAGAAAACACTGAACAGCAAACAAGAACAAAATCTTTTTTGAGATTCACTAAAGAAAATGGAAGTGTGGAAGAACACAATAAGAAAATAGACTTATGCAAGAACGGAAAATCAATTGACACGCTCTACACTCATTTCTTTTACTTTGGAGTTTACCAAAATACACAAACCAGTCATTTCTTTCAAGTGTTCAGAGAAAACACTGCACTATTTTTTTCCTTAAATTCTTTTATTGGTACGTTTTAGGTGTACAATACATTTACATTTATCATTGAGTACTTGTACCTTTAAATGATGCATCTTGGTTCTTATTTTTTTCCCATTCCCCTGCCCTCCCACCCCCTCCACCCTTCCCTATTTACAAAGACTTTGTTTCCATTTTTTCCTTTT